ATTCTCAAGCTGATGAACATTCCTTTAGGGTAGGTCACTAAAATGTCCCTGACATTATGGCCAGTAGACAGACAAGCCTTTGAAACAAATGCCAAATTCAATCAGTAGATTGATTAGATAACCAAGTACTAAGGGGTAGGATGGATAGTTTCATACACCCAAATCAGGCAAAAGTCATATGGTGGCAAGTTCATCCCATCTATTTGAAGAGGTTTGAGATTCTTGATGTCGTAATGACTTAGGAAAGAAAAAAATGGTTCATTGTGCCTGTCAGTGGCTCAAGAATATTGCTAGAATCTATCAGGCAGACTATGAAACCATGGTCTTTGGTCCAGGTCAAAAATTCTGGCCAGAAAGGAACCTTGGTCTTCTGAGATAGTGTATGAATTCTTTTGGGATGTCAATCTCATTTTTTGAGATAATAAAATTCTTCTCTTATGGGTATATTTTTATAAAGAAAGGTTTAAATTTAAATATATATATTATATCTTAAATCTTTAATATTATGTTTTGAGATACTTTGAAACACCTTTTAAAATTTTATTTTATTTATTTACTTTTAAAAATTTTAAATGTTTATTTTTGATACAGACAGAACATGAGCAGGGGAAGGGGAAGGGCAGAGAGAGGAGACACAGAATCTTTTTTTTTTTTTTTTTAATTTTTTTTTTTTAATGTTTTATTTTTATTTCTAGGAGGGAGAGAGAGAGAGACAGCGTGAGCAGGGGAGGGTCAGAGAGAGAAGGAGTCACAGACTGAAACAGGCTCCAGGCTCCTAGCTGGCAGTCAGCACAGAGCCCGACGCGGGGCTCGAACCCACGAACCGCGAGATCATGACCTAAGCGAAAGTCGGACGCTTAACCGACTAAGCCACCCAGGCGCCCCGAGACACAGAATCTTAAGGAAGAAAGCTCTAGGCTCTGAGCTGTCAGCACAGAGCCCGATGTGGGACTCAAACCCACAAACTATGAGATCATGACTTGAGCTGAAGTCAGGTGCTCAACCAACTGAGTCACCCAGGCACCCCTAAATTTTATTTTTAAAGTTTATTTATTTATTTATAGTGTGTGTGAATGGAGGAGGGGCAGAGAGAGGAGAGAGGAATCCCAATTAGGCTCTGTGTTTTCAGCTCAGAGCTGGATTTGGGGCTCTAGCATGGGGTTTGATCCCAGGAACAGTGAGATCATGACCTGAGCCAAAATCAAATGCTTAACCGACTGAGTCACCCAGGCACCCTACGGATACTTTGTATGTATAATTAAGTTGTAATGTTTAAGAGAATTTTGCATACTTAAGATTCTAATTAAATATGTGTAATTGAGTAATTGAGTTGAGATTTGTGATTTTAATTGGAAAGGTATAGGAGACTACATTAGAAAATGTTATGAAATTTTAAGACTAACTCTACCTGCTATTCCTTAAAAAAGATTTTATTTACTTGAAAAATGCAAATATCAAAAATAGCATTTGAAAAACTTTTTAATGTTTATTTTTTAGAGTGAGATAGACAAGTGTGAGTGGGGTAGGAGCAGAGAGAGAGGGAGACACAGAGTCTGACACAGGCTCCAGGCTCTGAGCTGTCAGCACAGATAGCTGGGCTTGAACTCACTAACTGCGAGATCATGACCTGAGCTGAAGTCAGATGCTTAACTGACTGAGCCACCCAAGTGCCCCCAAAATAGCATTTTCTGTCCATAAAAGTCATACATTGACATCAAAAAACTCACATTGGCGCTATATATATATATTTTTAAAGTTAATTATTTTTATTTTTATTTTTAATTTTTATGCTTATTCATTTTTGAGAAAGAGACAGTATGAGTGGGGGAGAGGCAGAGAGAGAGGAAGACACAGAATGCAAAGTAGGCTCCAGTCTCCCAGCCATCAGCATAGATGCCTGACATGGGACTCAAACTCACAAACCATGAGATCATGACCTTAGCCAAAGTCAGATGCTTAACAACTGAGCCACCCAGGCGCCCCTAAAATTATTTTTGATAGAGAGGGAAAGAGATCGCGCCACTAGGGCACATGCGTGTGGGAGGGGCAGAAAGAATCCCAAGCTGCATCTGCACTGTCAGCATGGAGATTGACTTGGGCTAGAACTCACAAACCATGAAATCATTACCTGAGCTGAAACCAAGAGTTGGATGCTTAACTAACTGAGCCATCCAGGTGCCCAGGCAAAATATATATTTTTAAAAGATTTTATGTAGTAAAAAAATATTCTATTATAATTTTGGTTAACATATAGTGCAATATTGGTTTCAGGAGTAGAATTCAGTGATTCATCACTTATATTCAACACCCAATGCTCATCATAAAAAGTGCTCTCTTTAGTACCCCTCACCCATCTAGCCCGTCTCCCAGGTACCAAACAGATTTTACTTTCAAGTAATCTCTATACCCAACATGGGGCTTGATCTCACAACCCTGAGATGAAGAGTTGCATGCTAGGGGGAGCCTGGGTGGTTCCCAGGTTGGTTAAGGATCTGACTACGGGTCAGGTCATGATCTTGCCAGTCCCAAGTTTGGGCCCAGAGTTGGGCTCTGTGCTGACAGCTCAGAGTCTGAAGCCTGTTTCAGATTCTGTGTCTCCTTGCTCTCTGCCCCTCCCCCACCCATGCTCTGTCTTTCTCTCCCTCTCAAATATAAACAAACATTAAAAAAAGAGATAGAGTCGCAAATTCTCTAAGATTAGTATCTATTACATTCTGTATCCCAAGCTTTTGGTTATTCTGTGTCCTCCTCTCTACACGTTACAGAACAGAATATTCTTTTTTTTTTAATGTTTTATTTATTTCTGAGAGAGAGAGAGAATGAGCAGGGGAGGGTCAGAGAGAGAGGGAGATACAGAATCTGAAACAGGCTCCAGGCTCTGAGCTAACTGTCAGCATAGAGCCCGACGCGGGGCTCAAACCCACCAACTGTGAGATCATGACCTGAGCCAAAGTCGGACGCTTAACTGACTGAGCCACCCAGGTGCCCCTAGAAGAGAATAATATTCTTGATGGTGGTAATGATTTAAACCAATGAACTTCTGCTTCAATGACTTGAGAATAAAATGATGAAAGGGGAATTAATTTATACAGACAGAAAGTCCACGAGCCAGAGGTTTTGCAAAGTGAATGAAAAGCATATTGCATTTTTGATATCTTCTTTTAAAACATAAAAAATATATTTGTTTTAGAAACTGAGTTTTCCAGCTGGTGTTTGTGTTCTAAAATTTCAGTTTCACTCTGGTCATCCTTGAACAGAAAACAATTTAAAAAATATTCAGTAATCAAGTGGCTGAAGGCTTAAAACCTTCCTATTCCCAAATAAGTGTAGAGGTTAAGGTCAAATTTTGTGCTGTCATGCTCTCAAACAAAAAAATTAATAAGGGGCCAGCCACCTTTTTGCTTTGATATTTGCACAATTATAAAGTCACAATAATGAAACTAAAGGGGAAAAGAGAAGGCAAAAGTAACTTTTTCTGTTAGCTTGAATGTATTAGGCTTTTATGTTTTGTGATGATTTTCAACAAAAAAATTAAGAGGATATGAATTTTCAGGAAAGGAGTAAGGGAATATTACTAACTACGTAAAAATCTATTAATCCTCTAAGAGAAGCACCTGTGTGAAAAGTCAACCAAAATTGTAAAGCTCCTTTACACCTACATTCCCTTCAAATAATTGTTTAGCAATAATAGAAGTTAACTTTTCTGAGGATGAAATATTTGCCAGGCACTTTGTAGATATTATCTCATGTAATCCTCACTATAGTCCCACTAGGACTTTATTTATGGAGGGTCCCCCTGCCTGGGTACTAGGCCAAGTACGGAGAATTCAGTTAGCATTATCGGCCTAGGGCAGTCTCAAGAAGCTTAGCCTAGTAATTATACTACCCCCTTCTTCACAAGAGGAAATGGAGGATAGGCTGTAAGAGATTAATTTACTTGTCCAATTACAAGGTCACACGGTGTTGAAGCAGCTACACGAACCAAGTTATCTCATGTCAGATCTTACCCTCAATTACTGAACTGTTAATAGACATATCTGTAAGATTTTTTTTGCTTTATTTCCTCGATTTTTTAAAATTTTTATCTTAGAGAAAGCCTTATAGCCAAGGACCTCTCCGCTGCTCCTTCTTTTTCACATCGTTGACCAAAGAGCAAGTGATGCTTTTATACAGTAAAGCGAGGTATCTGGGAAGCTTGAGGGGCGAGGAGGAGTCCCAGAGAAATGGGGGATTTTTTTTTTTTTTTAAAGAAACAATAGTAACCCTGACAAAAGGCCAGACTATAAAATCCGGAGCACAAGCTGATCCATTGCCGAGGAAAGCATTTTCTTTTTTCATCTCATTGCCTTTCTCCACTATTTCCAAGTGTGTTTTGTTAGCAGTGCCTAGCCCACTGGTTCTAAAATGCCGGAAAAAAAACTGGTTTTTATTCTACAACCATTACCCTCTAGCCCCCTACCCCTGTAGGTCTCTTCTCGCCTTCCCTCTCATGTGCTTTTCACTTCTTCACCCTCGGCAGATAACCTACATATACATAACGCTTTTTGTTTTATTCTATCGCCGTATGGACTAGATTGCCTTATGGCGACCTTGACAGTCACCAGGGTGGGAAGCCCGGGGGAGGGGAAAGGCAGTCAGCTCTAAGAGAGAAACCTTCAGAGAGCTGTTGAGGAGGCGCCACCGGGAGGAGGCTGCCACAGAACCCCATTCAGCGTTCAGCTTTTAAAAAGATTGACACGAAGTGTACCAACTGTCTTTGCTCTAGCTACTTGCGCGGTCTCGCGAGATACGGAAGTCTAGGTGGAAGGGGTGTCAAAGGCGCCTCTCTGAGTGGGGGATGGGAATATCTGTGGCGCAATCATTGCGCGAGATTGGGCCATGGTTGCTCGGGCCATGCTTACATCTCGCGATATTTCGGAGGCTACGGTCTGGAACTAGGGGCAACTTCTCGCGAGAGCCCGTGCTGAGGGCTCTGTGAGGCCCCGTGTGTTTGTGTGTGTGTATGTGTGTTGGTGGATGTGAGTACGGGGAAGCAGCGGCCGCCATTTCAGAGAGCTTGCTGAAGCTGTCGCAGGGGTGGATCCTGAGCTGCCGAAGCCGCCGTCCTGCACTTCCGCGCGGGCTCTTCTAATCCCATTGTTTCTTTTAGATTCGCTCGGGCCTATCCGCCCTCGGAGCCCGAAATTCGGGCTGGGTGGTACCGCGGCCTGGGCCTAGCGGCTTAACAGTAGCAACAGCGGCGGCAGCAGCAGCAGCCCCCATCTTTCCGAATACAGGCACCCCAGGGGCCCGAAAGCCCGCACAGGTAAGGAGGTGTCGCGGCTAGCGTATTGTTATTTTTTCAGAGGTTTAGTTTTCTTCTGGTTTTGACGGGCACTCTGGCTGTCTTTAACGTTGGGGGGGGGGGTGCAGGTTCTCGAGAAATCGGCTCCATTTCGGTGACCGCGCCCTTATTTTCCGGTCGTGTAGATTTCAGGTTCTTAGGTGGCAGGGACCCGGGGAGGCCTCGAGCGGACGGAGACCGGTCCCTTAGAGGCCTGGGCCGGCCGCGACCTCCCAACATGGCGCCAGCCGAACGCTACCATGGCACACAACCCCTCCCAACTGAGGGAGTTTCTTTTTGCCCCTAAAATGGCAGCGCGGGTTTTGCGCGGAAAGAGGCGCTCTCTCTCGAGTCGCGCGCGTTCTGTTTTTGGAGTAAGTTGTGGCTGCTTTTTGATCGTACGTCTAATACATTTCTGTGCGTTTAGTCTTGGAGGCATTTTAGATTTAGTTACCAACCCTGGTAAAGTGCATCCTGCCACGTTAGTTATCCCAGGGCTTCTGAAGTGTTTTTTTTTTTTTTTTTTTGAAGTTTTGGGAGTTTGCGGGTGTGAGAAGGAAATAGAGCGGAATTGAAAAATGTTTATTCACTGAATTACCTTTCTTATTTTCAGGCGTTTAGAGAAAATGGCAGACGATATTGATATTGAAGCAATGCTTGAGGCTCCTTACAAGAAGGTGAGAAAAAACATGTCGGTGAGGTTTATATATTTCTTAATTTAGCATTATCACGAAACTACTGCTGAAATGTAAACTAACCTCCCCGGAGCCCTCTTGATTTACCTTATCAGAGATGCATTACGTGTAACTTACAAAAGTAAATATATGCTATTGATGTAATAATATTGTGCAGTAGTTTCACTTCAGCGTGATGAATAAATGCCCATCTATCTCTCTTTGTAGACTTGCCTAACGATATCTCACCTCTACTCCCATGAATTCACCTTTGATTCCAGTGTGAACTGTCAATCATAAGGTAGTAATTGAGTGACTTATCGCTGTACCGTGGTCCCCTAGGTAAAATGACTCAACTAAGAATTACCAGCTCCAGTTTGGTATAGCAAAAAGGTGAATGTAGTGGTTTGGGAAAATCGCAGGGGTCCAAGAATAACAAAGCATAACCAGTCTGTGGCAAGCAAATCTTTTAAGTTTTACAAGAAGAAATGGGTGAGATTTAAATTTTCTTTTATGTATGTATGACTGGTGATAGTAAATATTGAAACAGGCAGGTGATGATCTGCTCAGTTAAAAATTACTAAAATTCTTGGATCCCTGAATAGAAATTTTTTTTAAACCAAAGGAGACAGTATCACAAACTTAAGAGTCACTTGATGACAGTTTTTACTGTTCTCCATATTTTATTTTTAATTAGTCCCTGCCATAATATTTCACACTAAAAGCTACAGAGGAATTATTTTGGCTAATAGTATAGTCTTTGACCCATTTCAGTATCACAGTAAAAGTAAAGTGTCTTTTCATTCTTTCACCAGTTGGTGGTGAAAATAGCAGTATGCATGCATTATCACTGGTGTCGCAAACTGTAAGCTTTGTAAGTTAGCACTTAAACGTCTATAACTGATGTGATCAAACTTTAAAAATAAACATTGCGCTAAACCTTTTAAAAATAATACATCTGTTTTGGATTGTATAGCACGACCATGTGGTACCAATATGGATGAATTCTTTTTAGCTTTAAATAGTGTACGTAGTTTTGTAATGCTTAGACTCTTGAAGAACTACTTTCTATTTTAATGTTAAGATTCTTGTGTCATAGTTTAACATGGATGTAATTCCATGTAAACAGGTATGGAAGTAGGAAATGTTTAGGCTGGACTGGTGGATTAATTAATTGACTTTCTTGGGTTCTTGGGAGTCAACATTACTAAAGCAGTGTGAATCCCTGTTTGCTTCAGGGCGAGATGTGTGACAGAGGTGGCATCAAGCTCTTACAGTCCCAACCCTCCAACGGAAATGGGCGAAGATCTCAGGAATGGCATCGGTCACAGGAAATCGATAGTGGCTGGCTGCTAGCATGGCCACTTGGGGCTTAGGCAGAAATAGAGCCATGGTACTGACCAAAGGGACCATAGCACATGGAATAAAACTCAAAACAGGACTTCATTCATGTTTTATAGAAATCCTATTTAACCACTTGAACATTGTAAATCTGGATAACTTAATATCTAATATATAAGTAAAATTTAACATGTTAATATGCATTTTTATTTTTGTATCACGATGACTTAATTGTAAGCAACAAAGTGGTTAAACACATACCCATCTAAATTTTTTTATAGCCTTCCATGTTAAATTATAAGCAAGTAATTAGTTTTAAAATTGTTTTGTATTTTCTTATTCCTATTCCCTTTACCCTTTGACAACTTGAAATGTTACCACTTCGTCCTCATGATGTTCTTCTATCAACCCTGCTTAGGATGAGAACAAGTTGAGCAGTGCTAACGGCCATGAAGAACGTAGCAAAAAGTAAGTTATAAAAAGGGACCTGAGGTGGGAGGGGACCTTTATGTGATGAGATCTTAAGTTGTGTTCCTGTGGCTGAGCATCAAACTAAAAGTTCTCTTCAAAAGCTTTTCTTTATTCCTTTTAGAAAAGTAGTTCTTTACCTTTTGGGGCAGGAAACTATTTGAGGATATGAAACTATGGATTCTTTCCCTAGATTTCAGGATATAGTGTCAGGGACCTTTTGGACACCTTCCCCATCCAAGTCTGTCCATGACAATCTGGATAAGAGTTCCTGTATAAGAGTTTGTCTTTTGTCTTAAATTTACTAACTTTGACTGAATATTTTGGTGATATGTTATCAATAAAACTATCATATCCACTGAAGATGGGTTAGGAAGAAGAAAAGGTATAACCAGGCCATGGAAAATATCATTTGTTCTAAATCACTGAAGGAGTCAGACTGAATTATTTATGCTCCTTGCTGCTTAAAGGCCCTTTTTATAGTAACATTGTAGTATACTTAAGTACTTCTTAGGTGCTTCTTACATGGCTTTTGTTTGCTTAAGCTTTTTAAACTCTTAAATATACTTAAATAGTGAGAATGGAGTTTTTTTAAGTTGTGCTTGCTCATATAAGTTATTAGGTTAAATGAGTAACCCGTAACAGGAGCTCAGTGCTACATGCTATAGAATATAGTATAAGTTTCAATAAAAGCATAAGCCAGAGCCACTTTACAAGGTTTGATCCTGTTTTTGGAGTTTTCTTTCAGCTCTACAATTAGTGATTCTTAGCATCAGTTGGTCATGTTACAAGCATTTGTTTTAGTAGCCTATTTTGTGAATGTACATGACCTGATAATACATAATGAAAAAAAAGTGATAACATAGTTGCTTATTGAGCTCTTATTCTAATAAGAGCTCAAGTGCTTCATAATACACTATCTCAACATCCTCACAACAACACTTCTTTAGTAGATTGATAGAATTTCACAAAATAGATGAGAAAATTCTTGGATTGTGCAGCCTTTCTTATGTCAATGTTTTATTCTTACAATTTAATATAGTAATGGATTTAATTAAAATGATGCAATTTGTGGAAACTGTCATATTTTATTTTGGTCGAAAGTTAGGTGGAGGATCTGTTATAGTTCCTCACTAATCAAAACAGATTGTGGGAATTAATCATACTGGGTTTAGTCTTTTTATGGTTTGAGGCAATCAACCAATCTTTGAATGGTTTAATGCTGCCTAGTTTTAGACCTTTTACCAAAGTCACAGTTTCCTAATTAATAGTTCTAATTCGCAGTTCTGCAATTCATAATGAAAACTAGGAAGGCCTATCCATGTAAATTTAAATTACCTAATCTAGGTGTGGGTAAAGATCTCACCCTGAGTGCCAATAGGATGAGAACAATGCACTTTTGGGCACAGACTTTCTTAGTTCGACCATTCTCAGATGTCACTCCTTGTTTCTAACTTCAGTTTATGCTTTTATCCTGCATCTAAACTAAGCTCATTGAGGCTACCAGGCTTATCCAGGAAATTTAGCATCAAGCTCACCATGGCTGATGCTTTATGACCTTTATCTAGAGTCTTCTGACACTGAGTAGATGGGTAATTTTCTTTCATTGGCTATAGGATAGCCAATTGAAGGGAATGTCTTTTTAAAATATTCCAATTACCACCTAGTATTTTAAATGTACAAGTTCTGTCAGACTTCTCTCCTTTTAAACTGCTTAAATAAATGGCTTTTTTGTTCAATCAGGAACTTTTCATTCATTTTTCTAAAGAATTAGTCTTTCAAATTAATTTGAAAGTTATTCAGAAGAAAATATTTGTATGCAAGGTTAGATGAGCTATAACCCAAAAACAACATTCTGTTCTTTAGTGTTCTGCATACATTCTGTGAATCAAAGGAAAGTGTCATGTTGCATTTTTCATACTAAAACTTGCCTTAAAAGCAATTGAGTATTGGGATGGTAGTGAGAAAATGCACATTCTGAGAAACTGAGACTTGACTAGTAAATGTTTTCTTTTAAAAAATAGTTTTGATTTTCAATCTGTACATTCAGTTGTATTCTGGTAGTGTAAAAGGAACCAAAATTAACACAAACCGGTTATCAATTAGCCTACTTTCTGAAGAACTATACCCCTGAGTTTGGCAAGACCTCAAAGTATGCCTGAGCTTGCCTTCATGGGAATAGTGTAACCATTTTTGGAAAGTCCAAACCAGCGTCCATTCAGTTAAGCTCTTTAGGAATTACTCAAAGGATAACAATAAAATGACACAGTTGAAATATATTGGCTACTGTGTGTGGATTATCTATAAATTTTGGAATAAATGACTTTTCTATTTTTTTTTCTTATTTTCCAGAGTACTTTGCATTTAAATTTTAGATCTTCTTACATGGAAGAGGTCAAATCCAGTTATAGCAAAACACCTTTACAGCAGAGGCCATATAACCAAAAAGTCCAAAGGCCCAGCCCAGTGGACCATTTACTTCAATGATGTTCAGTACAAAATTCCACTGCCACTAAAGACTTTGGAAAGTCCCTTTTAAGTTGTAACAGGATTTGACTATTAGTGTGGATTCTGATAACCCTTCTTTAGTTAACTTATGTTCTTTCAAGCTGCAGTTTGTTACGGAGAAGTATACTGCTCTCTTAAATTTTTGTCTGGGCTTTTATGAAGAGGATCGTGCTTCTGAATGTCTTAGTATGTTGTCTTTTTACCTGTCTGGGGTTGCCTTCAGATGTGGGTGGAAACTCATTTGTAAAAAGCTCTAGGAAAACTTTTAGTTGAAGTTAGCTCTCCATTTTACCAGTCCTTTCCTTTGGCAGAGGATGTTTTGGGCCTAATAAAGAGGTAGATTGGGAGGTTGGCTGCCTCTCTTTTGTGAGCCATCTAGGAGCAGAGCAAAATTTTATTTGTCCTTTTTGTGGGGGATGGAGTTACTTTTTCCTTTGTCCCCTGATTGATTATATGTAGGACTTCTGATTACAGCGATCTCACAGAAGTCTTAAGGCTAAGACATAGTGTCAGGTGTATCAGGCAAGAGAGTCGGAATGTTATCTGTTGCCCTTCTGGGCATTGCTTTGATGACTTCTATATAAATAATGAGTGTAGCCTAATTTTCTGTCATGTGCTACCTAGCATATACATTTCTGACAGTCAGGTGGATTATCTTGAAATTTTAGACAAAGTTTCTGCCTCCTTGGAAAGCTCTACATCTCCTTGTGATTGGAGTGTGGGTTTCAAGATTCCAGAAGGTGGGTGTCTTCATTTTCTATTTTCAATGCACACTAAGATGACCTGCTTACAGGTTCTCTGAGGCAGACTTCAATTGCTCTTGTGCTAACTTTGCTGTGATAAGGACTAAACAGTTTAATTAAATTTTCCAGAATGGTGTAGAGTTGTCAAAATGTTTTAATGATCTTTTAGCCACTACAAATTGACATTTTAGCGGAATAAGTTTATTTTGAAATGTCTTTCAATTTATATTGAAATATCTGAAGGCACCTCTAAAATTTGGGTGATGACACAGAAGTACAGATGGTAAGATTTAATTATGAAATGAGTGGGTGGTAGAGTGGTATACTGTGAAGAATACAGAAATGACAGAAAGAGATACGGCTGACTGGCTTTTTTACTTTTCAGAGTTTGAGATTTTATAAAGATTGATAAAGGTGTTGATCCTTGTTTTTGATTGCACCTCACAGGCTTGTATAAAGTGGCATCTTCCCTATTTTCTGGTGTACTTGTTATAACTTTGAATAGAAAATAACCGAAAAGCTCTGATCTAGGTATATCAGAATGCGTTTTATTGGATTAGTTTTATTGTCCTTTGTCATTACTTGTAATTTTCTCATGAAAACCAAAATATTGATGCTTGTAGGGCCCTTTCAGAGTATAAATTACTTATATTCATACTTGTAAATTGGGTCAAATTTGGCTCATGTAAGGGAAATTAAGTTTTTGTGAAAATTTTTGTATGTGGCCCACTATTACTTCAATGGTAACATTGTAATTTTTATTTTATTACTGTATCTTGTGGATTACAGTAAGTCTCTTATGTTGGACAGTTACGTTGGCCAAATTTTATTTAAAAGTTCAAGTTTTGATCTTCTACCTCCCAGCGAGTAATTTCTTTGTTAAAGTTGTAACTGACTTTTCAGGAGAGATCGTTACAGTCCCTGCTTTCAAATAATTGTCAAATGACTGCCTGTTTTTAAGTAGTAGAAGGCAAAGGTGGGGTGCTATTTACCTTACCTGGGAATTATTTTTCCTTAAGTATGATTACATATCATAGTAAAAATAGCAAGATAAATTTTTAAGAAGATAAAAAGATTTCTGACCATAAAAGGAAGTAAGCTTAAGCTAGCAAGATAATGCTAATTTTTTTCTTCTCAGGAGGAAAAAAAGCAAGAGCAGAAGTCGTAGTCATGAACGTAAAAGAAGCAAAAGTAAGGAACGGAAACGAAGTAGAGATAGAGAAAGGAAAAAGAGTAAAAGCCGTGAAAGGAAGCGAAGCAGAAGCAAAGAAAGGAGACGAAGCCGCTCAAGAAGTCGAGATCGCAGATTCAGAGGCCGCTACAGAAGTCCTTAGTATGTAACTATAGTTATGATGATATTGGTTTGAGAGTCCATTCTCTGGGTATCCATAAAGCAATTTAACCCGGAAAATTTGCAGTGTAAAATTTTATTTGTCAATATGATTAGTTAAAAAGCAATAGATAGGATATTTGCATTGAAAAGAGTAGCATAGTAGAAATACAGCATGTGGACCAATACATAACTTTATTACTAAGCATACAGATTTTCTGTTTTTCTTTTTTGGTTTTTTTTTTTTTTTAATTTTTTTTTTTTTAATGTTTTATTTATTTCTAGGAGAGAGAGAGAGAGAGACAGTGTGAGCAGGGGAGGGTCAGAGAGAGAGGGAGTCACAGACCGAAAGAGGCTCCAGGCTCTGAGCTGGCAGTCAGCACAGAGCCCAACGCGGGGCCCAAACCCACGAACCGCGAGATCATGACCCAAGTGAAAGTCGGACGCTTAACCGACTAAGCCACCCAGGCGCCCCAGATTTTCTGTTTTTCCATCTAAACTGTTTTAACTGTATGCCATCTAAACTAGACCAAAGCACTGCAGTGCTTAAAAATCTTGATACTGTAGTGCCAAATATTTGAAAGCTTAAAGGTGTGTGAGCTATTCAAATTTTCTTTACTGAACATAAGTTTAAAATTTTAAAGCTCAAATAGATAGCAAGTTATAAATGTAATTAGCCAAATATGTAATTGGTTAATGATCTTGTCTGGCTGTTTTCAGCTAAAATGACAGACCATTTGTGAATTTGGTGTATGCTCCTTTATAATGATCAACTTGCGGGGCTCATCACATTTATATTTAAGGTTTTTAAAAATAGTAAGAGACTAATAAAAGTGCTTTGAAATCACTGGAAATTTGACTGTGGTTATGTAACAAGTTGGAAATATTTTATTACAGTCATTTAAAAAAACTACATTAATAAGTTTGGAAGAAACCTACCTACAACTCTTAAGCAAAGATTGAATCTAGTTAGCAGTCCTTAGTGCTTTACAACATTCTTTACTCTTAATGAACATACTGTTGTAAACTGTGAGAGTTATTTTAAAATTAATACTTTAACTTGAATGATTAGAGATGGAATTCAAAGACCAACAGCTTGATAAAATATTTGGCTCTTCACTTGTGCAACTTAACACTTCAAGCTTGAGTTTTCTCATCTTTTAAAGAAGGAGGTAATAACTGAAAAACTTAATGAGTATTGAATTGAGAAGAGAATGAAAATAAAGGACCCACATAACTGCTATTCATGAAATGTTTCAGTATTATTTGAAGCTGTTAAAGTTAGTAAGACTTTGGGTTCTGACTCAGGTTCTTTAACCTTTAAAATTAAAAAGATTGAACCTCTACTTTCTTCGTAGCTGCTTATCTCATAAGCATTTTAAGAGCTGAAAGAGGACCACAGTGTTGTTTTAATTCCAGATGCTGTACTTTGTTTTTTGTCCAGTTTATCAAAAGTTACCATATTCATTTTTGCCAGAATAAAAAATGGGGGAAGATTATCTTAATAAATTCTGAATATGGTTTATCTCTCTTGAGTGATGAAAATTTGGTCAGCCTATAATCCTGGTCTGACTTCAAAGTGAGGTCTCACATTTGGTTTCATGTGATCTTTAATTTATCCAGTAAATGTATATTCTTAACTATGGTAATTAGTGTGAATTGCAAAGGACCCATTTAATACGTAATTTTATGTGGAACTGCTTGCATGTTGCAGGTATGCATAGAGTCCATGCAAACAAGTCCAAATGTGGATCACATAACCACTGTTTCATTTTGTTACTCTTCCTGAAAATGATAGTAGGATGAGCACTAAGGGACATCTGACATGTCCCTTTAAGTTAGTTTGGTCTTTAAAAATAAAAGGTCCAGAAACTATTGGGCCGTTTAAAGATTTAGGATAAAACTATCTTAGAATAATTACTTATAATATTTTTGAAAACATTCTTTTATTATGTCAAGTTCATAAAACATTTTTTGAAATATGAACTTCATACACATGTTTACTATGGAATATTTTGCTACAAAGAAGTGAATTTCGACACGTAAACTGCTTTTATGCAGTCTCTGAGACTTCACTTTTCCATGGAAGAGTTGGAGTTTCATGATGTAAGGAATTAGTCCTTTGTTTTTAAACATTCCTCAAAGAAGAAAACATGGATGAATATTGTATATGTACATGCATAAAAATATATTCCTGAGATAGGATCTGCAAAAATACACACCAAATTGTTAACTGCAGTTATTCTGGTGTGAGGGAAGTTCAGGGTGACTTAATTTCACTTTTTCTTTAAACCTCAGGAATGTATTCATAAACGTTTAAAAAAATTATAGACTGAAAATGAGAGAATTTTTAGAATCTTAACAATCTTGAGGCTGTAACCTTTGGTCTTGGCACCTCTCAGTGGTCCAGGATGGATAACTATACGAGCAGTTTGCCTGGGATAGAGTTCAGAGAAAAAGTCTCTATTTCCTCTTCATAACTGAGGTGGAAAAGAATCAGCCTAACAATGTTAAACTTGCTGGAGAGCGCATGAACGCGATCTTAGCAAGACCCTAACCCTGTAACTAGTGTAATTTTGTGTTTCCTTTTTAGCTCCGGACCAAAATTTAACAGTGCCATCCGAGGAAAGATTGGGTTGCCTCATAGCATCAAATTAAGGTTTTTAAACATACTTCTGAATTGTTTAAATTGTTTTTCAAGGAACTGATGTGGTGTATTTGTTTTGGTAATTTCTGAAACTTTTTAACTTTGCAGCAGACGACGCTCCCGAAGCAAAAGTCCATTCAGAAAAGACAAGAGCCCTGTGAGGTAGCTGTTGTCCCAATTTTTTTTTCTTCAGCACTTTAAGCTTTTATAAAGCTTTTACAGCATGTTACTGTTAAATTAACGTTTAGTAATTTGGACCGTATTTGTACTATATCTTGCTTCCATGGGTAGTACTGGTACATTGTTAAATCGATGTGGGTTTGTAAGTTTTCATTTTAATTTCACATTAAGAATGGAATAGTAATTATGTTAATGTGCAGACACTACATGTGCTCTTAAATCACTTTTAATTAAATATTTTAATGGTAGCTATAGAAAATTTTAAATAGACTTTGCTTGTCTTTGAAATTAACAAATTATATTGAAATTGGAATTAATAAATTTTATTGTAGTAGCTTCATGGGAAAGCAGTTGTAACAATCACAAGTTTTGTCATCTGGCTCTCTTTACTGAGACAAAGTACTTCATTTCCAAAATTTTAACTAGGTTGACTTGTTTCTAAGCAGTAATCTTACATTTTTAAATGTTTGTCTATTTTCCTCTTAAATAAATACAAGACTTCCCTATCACACTTTCATTTATTTTGGTTCAAGGAACATTTTGGTATATGGCAGCATTGTTCTTTACTGATTCTCTGAGTTCCCTTAAAGGGCACCTTTTAACTTTGAGATTATTATTTGTTACATTTGATATATTATAATTTTAAGATTTGATGAAAACCTTAATATTTTTAAAAGCTCTTTTTTGTAACACTGAGCTTTTTACTCTTTAATTTTGACTTTCCTGAGAAAAATCCCTTTTTAGTTCTCATTTTATGGATGCAGTGTAGCTTTGTACCTCTGTTTTATAAGAATATGTTTAAATTTAGCTGATTCCTCAAGGAGATGTACCAGAATTTTGTAGGTGGAATACTTTAAAAGTATTTCCTGAGAATGTTCAGAATGTGGAAAAGAGCATGTTTGTGTTTATGTCTTTAAGGATTCACTTAGAATCATAACCTCTTAGTGATGTTTTCTAATAAATGTTAATAGACACTTCTGTTCCTTAAAATTAATGAAATTAAGTTTCATCTCGTCTGCTCTTACTCAACTCGAGCACTTTAGTTCCCTCCATATGATCAGAAATGCTGTCAGTTATCAAGGCTATATGTAAAATAATTAAGTTGATTCCCATTACTGATAATTTGTCTATATAATTTCGTGCTTTTCATTTTTGATTTATTGGTACTGTCTTTTTTATAACCATCAAGACACATTCTTTTGGATACTAAATTTGTATTATCTTAAAAGATTGATCTACTAAACAGCCAGCTCGTTATTCCATATATATATATATATCATTCCACTATAGTCTGATACTTGTAGCTAGTCAGTTATTTTTAGTGACTCTTACTAAACTTGGGCTTCTGATAGTTTTTTTTTTTTATTCTGCAGAAATTACTATTTGTAAGATTTCTAGGCCAGTGGACTTTTGTCCTTATACCATGTAAGAAGGTATAAGAAGAAACCATCAGAAGAAACATCATAGTAACTCATATTGTTGGAATTGAGTCAGATTGAATTGTTTTATGGATATTTTGTATAAATTTAGTGAAAATGGGCTTGTGAATAACAACAAACTACTTTTGCTAAAGTTTATTTATTGAAAATAAACTTAAAAAGTTATTTTAAGAGCATAAGTTATAAAATTAATTTTTATTCCTCTTAGGGAACCTATTGATAATCTAACTCCTGAGGAAAGAGATGCAAGGACAGTTTTCTGCATGCAGCTAGCAGCAAGAATTCGGCCAAGGGATTTGGAAGAGTTTTTCTCCACAGTTGGAAAGGTAAGTTTTTAGTGTATTTAGGGAGGTTGAGTACGTGAGAAGTGCAAACACCTTTTTTTTTTTTTTTTTTTTACTTTTTTAGAAAGCACTGGCCAGAGAGAGGGGCAGAAGGAGAGAGAATCTTAAGTAGGTTCCATACTCTGTTCTGATCCCCAATGCAGGGCTCAAGCCCCCAACCCTGGGATTATGAGCTGAGCTAAAATCAAGAATCAGCCACTGAACCAACTTAGCCATCCAGGTGCCCCAACAGAAAAAAATATTAATATCGTTGATATGTTAGGTTGAACTAGAGAACATTTAAACATCAAATCTTTCATTTAGTAGAATTCACTTAAGGAATTTCTTGGGTAGCATTTCTGTTCTGCCTCACTTGAAAGTTAATAGTGTTGGAATTGATAACCGTTATCACGTGTTCATCAGAAGTTAAAGTGGACCAACAAGTTTACTTATTTAAAAAAAATTTATGGGGGGAAGGGTCCTTGGGTGACTTAGTCTAGAAGAGTATGTGACTCGTAATCTTCAGGGTCATAAGTTCTTGCACCACGTTGGGCATAGAGATTATTTAAAAGTAAGTGAAACCACGTTATCAGTAAAAAAAAAAAAGTTTTTAATGGTTTATAGTGGATGATTGCATAAAGAGAACCTTGTATTAAGTGTGTGTTTTCTTTTTAGGTTCGAGATGTGAGAATGATTTCTGATAGAAATTCAAGACGTTCCAAAGGAATTGCATATGTGGAGTTTGTCGATGTTAGCTCGGTGCCTCTAGCAATAGGATTAACTGGCCAACGAGTTTTAGGAGTGCCAATCATAGTACAAGCATCACAGGTAATTTTTTTTTCTTGGTTGGGAATTGGATTAGCGGTGCAAGAAACCTATTATATAATCATAAATTACTGGGTTAGATGTTCTCAGAGCAGGTGTTTTGGTTTTTGTTTTAACTTTGTTTTGGTTACTTTTATAAAAGTAATTTTAACCATATTCTGGTTTTTGTGGGTTTTTTATTTTTATTATAGTTTTTTTTTTTTTTTTAATGTTTTATTTATTTCTAGGAGAGAGAGAGAAACAGTGTGAGCAGGGGAGGGTCAGAGAGAGAGGGAGTCACAGACTCTGAAACAGGCTCCAGGCTCTGAGCTGGCAGTCAGCACAGAGCCCGACGCGGGGCTCGAACCCACAAACCGCGAGATCATGACCTAAGCGAAAGTCGGACGCTTAACCGACTAAGCCACCCAGGTGCCCCATATTATAGTTTATTTTTGAGACAGAGATGAGCATGGGGGGGAGGTGCAGAGAGAGAGAGGGAGACACAGAATCCGAAACAGTCTCCAGCCTCTGAGCTGCCAGCACAGAACCCCACAGGAGATTTGAACCCATGAACCATGAGATCATGACTTGAACTAAAGTCGGACACTTAACTGACTGAGCCACCTAGGTGCCTCTAAGTTTATTTTTGAGAGGGGGTGAGAGTGAATCCCAAGCAGGCTCTCCTCTGTCAGCACAGAGCCTGACATGGGGCTTGAACTCACAAACTGAGATCATGACATGAGCCATGTCAGTTGCTTAACCAACCAAGCCATTCAGGTGGCCACATTCTGTTCTAATTCAAGTTTTGAAAAAACTTCATAGAAGACCTGAGACCTTGGTCTAGAATTTTATGGATTTGTGGTGAATTATTAGTTGAGGATAGAAGTGTTTGAGAGTATATTTGTTGCTTCTTTCAAATGGGGTGATTTTGACATTTTTAATAAATGTTAGTATTTTTGTTTTATAATGCACACTTATATAAGGTTTTATAAAATGTTAAGAGTAGTTTGAACAGCCATTAGTTCGCATTTTTTGAAGGTAAGCTGTTTCAAACTAATTTTGAGAAAATCTTCTGTTTAAAATGTCTTTTGTTCCTTTTTGCTGGTACTTAGAGTATTGTCTTTGGGAAATGAAATTACCATTACTAATAATTCAGTAAATGTGGAAAAATTGGTATGTATTATTTTATTATGAAAATATATTTAGGATTCTTTTTTCTTTTTTAATTTTTAATGTTTTATTTATTTCTGAGAGAGAGAGACAGCCTGAGCAGGGGAGGGTCAGAGAGGGAGGGAGATACAGAATCTGAGACAGGCTTCAGGCTCTAAGCTAGCTGTCAGCACAGAGCCCGACGCGGGGCTCAAACCCACAAACCATGAGATCATGACCTGAGCAAAAGTCCCAACGCTTAACCGACTGACCACCCAGGTGCCCCGTATAATTCTTTATCAGTATCTATTTATTAAGAAACAGTTATATCTGTCACTGCTTTGATAGCCTAGTTCTTTTTAATGGAGAATATAGAATTTAAAGAATACTTTTGAGGGGCGTCTGGGTGGCCCGGTTGGTTGGTCGTCTGACTTTGGCTTAGGTCATGATCTCACAGTTTGTGAGTTCAAGCCCTGTGTTGGGCTCTGTGCTGACTGACAGCTTAGAAACTAGAGCCTGCTTCAGATTCTGTGTCTCTCTCTCTGACCCTCCCCTGCTCACTGTCTCTCAAAAATAAACACTGAAAAAATATTAAAGAATATTTTTGAGCAACACAAAAGTCGTGTTAAATAAGTCCTGTTGGTTGCTTTTCAAACCACTGAAATAAATACTCTAGAACTCCTAAATAATAAAGTTACTTCATCAATTTCAATGGTTTTTATTTATAAAAGAGTAAAAAAAGTTGGCACCAGCCTTGGAACCAGATCTGATTTGAAATTCTAGTTTCACTGCTAATAAGTTGTATGTAACTAAGTTATTAGCTCAGGTCATATCGAAAAGGTAATAATAGGTTCCTTTTAATATTTTAGAAGTAATTGATAGTGGCCATATATCACTTGAATGTATATTAAAAAATAGGCAGTTATTGGGAAATGGGAAAAATTAATTCCTTTGATTCACTTCCTGTAATGGAGGACAAACTATTAGCGTGTAGACAGAGGGCTGAGAGTCCATAAATTAAATGAGGTTTTGAATTCATTCAACTTTTAAGCCTGCTTTGGGATATATACCACCAGACTGGTGCCCCAGTTGATTAATAAGAAAGTTGTGTTAGAATATAAGTTGATAATTATTACCTTTGAGAAAGATTTCCTTTGGAAAAAATGACAGCTAAACTGAATGGTTTGGTTGGATTTTATATTGACAAATCTCCTTTATGACAACCAGTCAGTTGGTATACTGTACTTTGAGTAATAATGATTTTGAGAGTACATTAATTTTAATGAATAATGAATGTATCTATTAATTCTAGGAAACAGTCTTATTTCCCACATTTAGCATGTCTGGTATCAGTATGCATCTAGTTTATATGGCATAGTATGCTTTTAGGATTGATTTCAGTTTATATTGGCAATACGATGTATATTGGCATATACAGTGTTGTATATGTCTTGTATATAGACTTGTTAACTTGTTTTTTGTGGCAAAATAGTATATCTTCTTAAAATATTAAAGTTTTTGCTTAGAAATTGGACATTTGAAACTTTTTTTAAGTTTTTAAAAAAGTTTTCTTAGTTTGTTTATTATTGAGACCAAGAAGAGCACAAGCAGGAGAAGGGCAGAGAGAGAGAGAGAGGGATAGACAGAATCTGAAACAGGTTCCAGGCTCTGAGCTGCCAGCACAGAACCCGATGTGGGGCTCGAACCCACGAACTGTGAGATCATGACCTGAGCTGAAGTCGGACGCTTAACTGACTGATCCATCCAGGTGCCCCTTGAACCATATTCTTCAAATTAATTTGAACTCCATGCCAATAATCACAGTGGCATGTAAGTTGCATCAGTCAATATTTGTACTTTGTGATTCAGTTTAGCTTACTGTCACTAACGTTTCACATCACTTATTAAGCAAATCTAAAGTCAGTGGGATTTTACGTTGATTGAAATGATTTGAATTTGTGATGTGTGATGTGCATTTTGTCCGATACAACTTATAGGCAGAAAAAAACAGAGCTGCAGCAATGGCAAACAATCTACAAAAGGGAAGTGCTGGACCTATGAGGCTTTATGTGGGCTCGTTACACTTTAACATCACTGAAGATATGCTTCGAGGGATCTTTGAGCCTTTTGGAAGGGTAAGTCCCATTATCTTCATTGATCTTTAATATGTTCTTGGTCCAAATATAACTACTAATTCTGTATGTCTCTGCTTTGTCATGTTTCAGTGAGGTTAATACTAAAATGGGAAGGGCTGGTTCGGCAAGGTGTTTGTGTCATCTTAGATTAATTGGTATCCCTTGAGAGAAGATAAGATATGAAGAATCTGCTAACAGTGTTATTCATAATGCTGTAGTGAAATGTATATTGGGTATTAGAACCAGTAATCTTTTCTTTAAAAAAAAAAAAAAAAATTTTTTTTTTTTTTTTTGTTTTATTTAATTTTGAGACAGACTGAGTACGAGTCGGGAACGGGCAGAGAGAGAGGGAGAAACAAAATCCAAAAACAGGCTCCAAGCTCTGAGCTGTCAGCACAGAACCCGATGTAGAGCTCAAACCCACAAACCGTGAGATCATGACCCGAGCCGAAGTCGGACGTTTAACCGACTGACCCACCCAGGCACCCTGTCCAGCAATTTTTTCAAGTCAACATGAATGATCAAGAGTTTTCTCTTTGGAGAAAGATTGATTGATTGATTTAAAGTACAGTTTACTCTGCTCTTGGGGCCCAAACTCATGAGATTGATTGACTGACTGATTTGTAGTATAGTTTATCCTCCTCTTGGGGCCCAGACCCCTGACCCCAATTTCAAGAGTTGCATTCTCGGGGCGCCTGGATGACCTGGGTGCTCAATCAGTGAAGCATCTTGGTCATGTCTTGGTTTGTGAGTTTGAGTCCTGAGTTGGGCTTTGCACGGACAGCGGGGAGCCTGCTTGGGATTCTCTCCCTCCCCCTGCTCCCCACCACTTGTGCTGTCTATCAAAATGAATTTTTATTTTTTTTATTTTTTTAAATGTTTTATTTATTTCTAGGAGAGAGAGAGAGAGCATGAGCAGGGGAGGGTCAGAGAGAGAGGGAGTGACAGACTCTGAAACAGGCTCCAGGCTCTGAGCTGGCAGTCAGCACAGAGCCCAACGCGGGGCTCGAATCCACGAACTGCGAGATCATGACCTGGGCGAAAGTCGGACGCTTAACCGACTAAGCCACCCGGGCGCCCCCGAAATGAATTTTTAAAAAAATCAGTCATGTTCTACCTGATGAGCCAGCCAGGTGCTCCTTGGTTGGTGTTTTTTGGATGCTTGGGTTTTGGTTTTATGAAAAATTCAGAGTATGTAGAACAGCTTCTTCAGTAAATTAAGAAGTTAAATTGGTTCCTGTTCAGTTGGTCCTCATTTTATTTATTTATATTTTAACGTTTGTTTATTTTGAGAGAGATGGAAAGAGCATGAATCCCAAGTAGGCTCTACAGTGAGAGTGAGTAACATGACACGGGGCTTAAACTCTCAACCATTGTATATGACCTGAGTGAGCTGAGATCAGGCAGATGCTTAACCAACTGAGCCACCCAGGTGTCCCAGTTGGTCCTTATTTTAGAATGAACGTTTTTTTATATTTTATGTTTTTATTTAAGAAAAGATTTTTATATCTTTTTATTTATTTTTGTGAGAGATAGTGTGACCAGGGTAGGAACAAAGAGAAGAGGACACCGGATTCTAAAACAGGCTCCAGGCTCTGAGCTGTCAGCAGAGAGCCCAATGCAGGGCTTGAATTCATGATCCATGAGATGATGACCTGAGCAGAAGTCAGACACCCAACCAACTGAGCCACCCAGGCCTTCCTAGAATGAACATTTTTATTTTAGAGTAAATGTTAATACTAGTAAGTTGTGCTCTGGTTTAAAAGAATCATTATGTGGCCGTGAATAAAAGTGTTGTACACTCTTTATCCACTACTAATTTTCCATTGCCTTTGGATAGAATTTTTATTTTCTTTTTACTATCCTCCTTCAACTTCTTTGTTAAACATAATTATTATTTACTTTTTTTTAGCAGTTTATTGTCAAGTTGGTTTCCATAGTAAACTGTTTTAAGAGTAATGGTAAAAGTTGGGTCTTGATTGTGGTGTTTTATTGGAAATCTACACATCCTAATGGTGTGCAAATCCTAATATTTAATTTTGGCCAGTCATTACAAAATTAATGCATCCTAAAATTACTAGAACATGTAGAAATAGAACATAGGTGTGTTGTATTTTTCATCCTTGCTGCATATGAACAACTTTATCAGGATATTATGAAGTTGTAGTGTGCAAACCACAGAGTTCATCCATTTAAAGCATACGATTCATGGCCTTTTTATGTGTTCACAGAGTTGTGCCATGATCAACTATATTGAGTGTAGTTATTGCAACATCTTGGGCAGTTTATCATGTCTGATCTTTTTTGGTAATTAACGCTTAGTGTTTTAAGCATAATGGTGGAAAGGAAGAAAAATGTTATTTATTTTTAATATCTGATCATAGCTTACAAGGGTACTTGGGTTTTTAGTGGTTTCCTTTTGAGTCAGAAGACTAAGATCATACTTTCCCCCCCGCCCTGTTCCACAGTGCATATCTTCTTGTTGGGGAAATTTAGGCTTTCAGAAGATTTTTTTAGAAATGAGAGGTTGTGATGTATTTTCAATTCCTTTTTTTTTTTTTTTTTTAAATCTGAGAGAGCACAAACAGAAGGGGAGAGAAAAATCTTAAGTGGGCTTCACACCTAGCTTTGAGCCTGACACAGGGCTCAATCCCTTGTTCCTGGGATGACAGCCTAAGGTGAAATCAGTAGTTGCTCAACATACTGAGCCACCCAGGAGCCCCTCAATTTCAGGGGTGGGGATGAGATTCGTTTTTGTTTTGCTTTTTTCTTTTTTTTAAGTTTATTTACTTTGAGATTGAGTGAGGGGAGGGGTCAGAGAGGGAGAGAATCTCAGACAGGCTCTCTGCACTGCTAGTGCAGAGCCCAGTGTGGGGCTCAAAATCATGTAACTGTGAGTGAGGTTATAACCTGAGCCAAAACCAAGAATTGGATGGTTAACTGAATGAGCCGCCCAGGTGTCATGAAATTTTTTTTTAAATCATGTTTTCAGGGAATAAAACGCTTTTGTTTCCCTGTTTTCACTTAAATAATAATCATGATTTTCATTTTTAGATTGAAAGTATCCAACTCATGATGGATAGTGAAACAGGTCGATCCAAGGGATATGGATTTATTACGGTAAGCAATTACCATGATTAACATCATAATGTAAAGGTTTTAAAGCTAAGTAGTGTAGGTAAATCTTGTTAATTATGACAGTGGGGAAAGGGACATTGTAGCTATAAGTGTTTACCAAAATGTTGATTTTTAGCCAGTTGCTTATCTGTATATGGTCAATTTCCATAGCTAAATCTTTGTGTAATTGAAGTTTATGATCTTGTAATGAGTTCTTCAGTCTCTGATACTTAATACACTTTTTTGTCAGTTGAATGAAAGTTTCTTGAAATTGTTTTACTTAAAATTCTTTCTATATGTCATCATCTCACAACCATGATCAGAATTGTCTTATTAAGTTTTTGTGGCTAACCAGCATAGCCCATTCCCTGATGAGAATAGAGTTGTGATGTGGCACCCGGAGTAATTGTGAATGGAGGTGCCCTTTTAAAAGTAAATTCTCTTCTGTATTATTTTCTAATGGAATTCAGTTACATCATTATAGATCTTCAGAAGGTTCTGGAAACTATTTCTAGAGCAAAATGCAGATTGTCATGATAGCTGCTCTTCTTTAAAAAAAATTTTTTTTTAAGGTTTGTTTTTGAAAGACCTTGACAGGGAAAGGGGAGAGAGGGAGGGAGATACAGAATCCAAAGCAGGCTCCATGCTTTTAGCTATCAGCACAGAGCCTGATGAAGGGCTCAAATGCATGGACTGCAAGTGAGACTAAGATCTGAGCTGAGGTTGGATGCTTAACTGAATGAACCACTCATGTGCCCCTAAAAATGTGTAACATATAAATAGGTCTAAGGTCTAATCAAGAAATTATAATTGTATTGTGTCCAAATTTCAGTAAAATTTTAAATGTTTCTTAGTGATAAATTTTATGTCATTGGGATTTTATCTTTCTGAATATATACTAGTGAAGGGAGAAAAGTTATTTATAAAGCTGCTAAGTCACTGTTTTTAAACTAACTTTTTATTTTGCTTCTATTAACATTAGTGTGGTTATTTTCCTGTGTGTGACCAATAGACTTTATGTCTCATTTCTACTAAATATTTCATTATATGTCTCCCCTAAAATATTTTATTTTTTTAAGAGAAACAACTTTTTTTTTTTTATTATTTCTAGGAGAGAGAGAGAGCATGAGCAGGGGAGGGTCAGAGAGAGAGGGAGTCACAGACTGAAACAGGCTCCAGGCGCTGAGCTGGCAGTCAGCACAGAGCCCGATGCGGGGCTCGAACCCACGAACCGCGAGATCATGACCTAAGCGAAAGTCGGACGCTTAACTGACTAAGCCACTCAGGCGCCCCTCCCCTAAAATATTTAAAAAAAATTTTTTTAATTTTTTTTTGAGAGAGAGATAGTACAGTGCAGAGAGAGAGGGAGACATAGAATCTGAAGCAGGTTCCCGACGTGGGGCTCAAACCCACAAACTGTGAGATCACGACCTGAGCTGAAGTCAGATACTCAACTAAGTGAGCCACCCAGGCGTCCCTAAAATATTTTTTTTTATGTGATAGGTTTGATGCTTGAATATTTGGTTAGTGGTGGGCACATTTTTGCTAGAAATCCTACTAAATGTCAGCTAAACCATGAAGGCCTATTTTGTAAAGCTTTTTATTAAAAACATTTTTTTAATGTTTTTTTAATATTTGGGACAGAGACCAACTGTGAGTTGGTGAAGGGTGGTTGCAGAGAGAGAGAGGGAGACACAGTGTCTGAGTCAGGCTCCCGGCTCTGAGCTGTCAGCACAGAGCCCAGTGCAGGGCTCAAACCATCAAGCTGAAACAATGACCTGAGCTGAAGTCTGATGCTTAACCAACTGAGCCACCCAGGTGCCCTTAAAAACGTTTTTAATATCAAATATACATATGCTATTTATTAAGAGTTCATGATCTGGGTACAAAGCTAGATTTTGTAAATTTTCAAGATTCTGTATTGGTATATGTATTCTGTTTTATAATTCTCTGCAATTCTTCCTGTCTCCGTAAAAGAAAAAACAATTATTTTGCAACATACTGGTAAAATACTAAGCTCTGGAATTGATGAAAGTATTTTTTCCTTCCATTAAGTGAAAATCAGAGTGCACATCAGTTTGTGTTTGCATCTAGGAAATCTAAGAATTTTCATGATGTTACTGGCAATAAAATGACCCAGGATTTTATAGTAAAAATAATGGTTGAGTGATTTAATTTTTCTTAATAGTTCTTTTTTTGAAGAGAAGAAAGCACCATACTTAGCACATTAAAATTTGTTTTGAAGTTTGAAAAATACACATTTTGTTATTAAGATTTCATATTTCCAAGGATAGTTGCCATTACATGGTAATTTCTTGGAGTCGAAACCATCACATTGAGAAAGCCAATTTGCATGAGCTTGTGGTTTGATCCTATAGGTTATATTATATAAAGTTAGAAATTTGCACTTTATCATCCACACTGTTGGTGGGATTAATTGATAATACTAAACTTAATAAGCAAGCATTCCTTCATCTTCAGTATAATCTTCTTGTGAACTAATATACAGGACTTTTTATCCTCCTCTCAATTACACAGTTTTCTGATTCAGAATGTGCCAAGAAGGCTTTGGAACAACTTAATGGATTTGAACTAGCAGGAAGACCAATGAAAGTTGGTCATGTTACTGAACGTACTGATGCTTCCAGTGCCAGCTCATTTTTGGACAGTGATGAACTGGAAAGGACTGGAATTGACTTGGGAACAACTGGTCGTCTCCAATTAATGGCAAGACTCGCAGAGGGTAAGTTTTTTCTTGTGTTGGAAGATTTATTGTTGGTATAGTAATGAGAAAGGTAACCCATACAGACTAATAAGTGAAACAGTATATTTTTTCTTATTTTGGAACTGACCTTATATATCCTTGGGTGGTATATGTAGTTTTATAGATGAAGTTATTACCTTAAAAGTTCTAATGGAATCTAGTTTATGGTGGTGCCTATTGAGAGCCATAGCATACGTTATGTGATTCCTTTTGCTTTCTTTTTTTCTTTTTAAAGTTTATTTATTTTTTGGGGCGCCTGGGTGGCTTAGTCGGTTAAGCGTCCGACTTTCGCTTAGGTCATGATCTCGCGGTTCGTGGGTTCGAGCCCCGCATCGGGCTCTGTGCTGACTGCCAGCTCAGAGCCTGGAGCCTGTTTCAGAGTCTGTTTCTCCCTCTCTCTCTGACCCTCCCCTGCTCACGCTGTCTCTATCTAGAAATAAATAAAAATATAAAAAAAAATAAAAATAAATAAAAATAAAAAGTTTATTTATTTTTGAGGGAGTGCACAAGCAGGGGAGGACCAGAGAGATGGGGAGACACAGAATCAGAAGCAAGCTCCAGACTCTGAGGTATCAGCACAGAGCCTAAGACCATGCTGAAACTCACAAGCCGTGAGATCATGACCTAAGCCAATGTCAGATGTTCAGCCAACTGAGCCATCCAGGCGCCTCATCCTTTTGCTCTCTTACAATAATTATAATCCTCATACTTAATACATTTAGTGGCAGCTATCATACTATGTTTTTCTTATAAATGCCTTTTTTTTTTTAAACATTTTTCTTAATGTTTATTTTTGAGATAGAGGGAGACATAGACTCTGAGGCAGGCTTCAGACTCTGATGAGCTGTCAGCACAGAGCCCAACGCAGAGCTCGAACTCCCAAACTCAAGATCATGACCTGAGCCAAACTTAGACTCTTAACTGACTGAGCTAACAAGGTGCACCCCCTCCCCCAGTTTTCTTTTCTTTTCTTTTTTTTTAAAGCAAGAAAGCAGGAGCGGGGGAGAGCAAGAATCCCAAGCAGGCTGTGCACACTGCCAGCGTGAAGCCAGATGTAGAGTTTGAACTCAAAAACCTAGAGTTCATGAACTGAGCTGAAGTCTGGTCATGTAATATCCTGAGACACCCAGGCACTTCTGCTTGTAAATAATGTTTTGTGACATGAATTTGGTAGTAGTGAGCACCCAGAAAACTGAGTTTTCTGCCCTTAACATAACAAGGACTTATGTGTTCTTTTAATACAGGTACAGGTTTGCAGATCCCACCAGCAGCACAGCAGGCTCTACAGATGAGTGGCTCTTTGGCATTTGGTGCTGTGGCAGGTAGGAATTGAATCTTTTCTAATTTGAAATCATTGTTTTTTCACCTAATTCGAAAATTTGCCAAATTTTTGCATTTAAAAGGACTTAACTGAGAATTCAATTCATCAAGTACTTTTAACCTATAAATTTCATGGAAATGGAGAGTTAATCAGTAATCCTAATAGGCTGTTAGAGCATTTTTGAACCCTACATATCAATTTTTAGTTTGAGATTGCCTGCAAGTTAGAAATTTTTAAATGTGACTTTTCTTGACTAGCAAGTTTGTATTGTTTCAAAAAATGTTCTTTTGTAATGTTTGAGTTTCGAAAACTATTAGAGCCTTTAAAATCATGCTGTATGTAAAATAATTGCAGTATTGAGAGTGCAGAGAAAACTTTTTTTTTTAAAATAGTACATACAGTTTTGAGATTTTGAGTTAGAGTAATAGCTTCTGAAGATGGCATGGAAGAGAAGTGGTTTTATTAGTTATGTAATAAGGAGTTCAGGTTATGAAACCTTGTTTTTCTTTCTTTATGGCTTAAAGTACCGCAGATTTGCTTTTATAAACCTTGTTGTTAACCCGAAATCTATGAACTAGGATAGCATTTAATTTTGAAATGTTGACTTTTCTATCTTAGGACATCTAAAAAGAACAAATTGATATCCTAAGAAAGTTTAGCACTTTGTATTATGAATTGGTCCTTTGATCTCCCCATAAAGTAAGAAGTAAGACCACAGTACTGTATCTAAATAAGACACTTAAGAGTCTGTGTGGTTGATTCATGATTTGTTTAAATCAAAAGGTCATTAAAGGATAGGATCATTTTTGCTTTTGTTTTATTTATTTTTTAATCTTTGCTTTTATATTGTATTTTGTTAAGAGAGAATGGGCTTTTCAGTGTTTTCCTGTTTCATGGATGTCCACAAGTTTGAGTATCTAGAAAAATCTGACTTTTGTGTCTCTCCTGTCAGATTATATTCTTTATTTTGAAAGATGATAGGTACTCTATAAAATTTCTGACAGAACCATGCCAACTTTGTTCTTATGTGGAGAAAAATTATACCTATTAATGCATTTTAGTATTTTGAGTCACTGGATAACTCCATCAGTGATCACGAAGTTGTTTTGACTTTATAAACAAATATTAGACCTTAAATTTCTTGAGTGATCAGAGAGGCCTACAAGGCCATTTGGTGTAATCAGAGACATTAAAGGAACCCATCCTTTCCAGAAATGTAAGGCAGTGTATGGTTTGAAAATTACTGTTTGATCTGAAAACTGTATTTTTATTTCGCTTCCCATTGTTTAGATCATTCTTTAATAGTTTAGAAAATACTTGATTGCTTACCACATTCTAAGTTTCATTAGAAGCTAGTGAAGATTTATACTCTGTCTTCCAGAATTTCATGCAGTCTTATGTAACAATCTGGATGTGGTATAAAATAGGTTGATTCCATGTTCTTCATAAATAATTTCACTTAATTTAAAAGTTAAACATCATTACTATTCTTAGCCATTCTTTCTCAATACATGAAGTATGAGCATACTTACTGTGCAATTTATTTTAATAAAGGTGGGCTGATTGTGATAAACTATAAATGTCCACATGGATTTGTTAAAAAGGTCACTTAGCTGTATGTTACCTTCCCCATTTATTCTTGTTTATTGAGATGATTATAGAGTTTGATTCTGACTTAAACTACTCAATAAATTGCTACCAAATTAATAATCAATACTCAAGTTTTAGATAAATATTTACATAATTTGGTATTTTCCTCCCGATAGTCATCATTAAAACCTTACACATTTCTTGTTGAAATGAAATAAATTTCTGAGTGTTAATGTGTCTAAAACTCTTACCCCTATGCTCTTTAAAGCTGCTCTTTGAAACCAAGGGTGAGTCAGCAGTCTATCCAACGTCTTTATTTTTTTATTTTTCATTTTTTTAATATTTTTAAATTTATTTCTAGGAGAGAGAGACAGCGTGGGCAGGGGAGGGTCAGAGAGAGGGAGACACAGACTCTGAAATAGGTTCCAGGCTCTGAGCCGGCAGTCAGCACAGAGCCCGATGCGGGGCTTGAACCCACGAGCCGCGAGATCATGACCTAAGCAAAAGTCGGACGCTTAACCAACTAAGCCACCTAGGCGCCCCCAACGTCTTTATTTTGGAAGTTTAAATTTCTAAGGTGGTAGTCCTGAACTTTATGAAACCCATGTCTTGTTATCAAATGATCTTAAAAGTGATAAAATTTTGACATTTTGATAGGGATTTACTTTCACTTAAAATAGCAGGGTGTGTGTGTGTGTGTGTTTACTTATTTTTGAGAGCTAGAGGAAGACAAAGAATCCTAAGCAGGCTCCAGGTTATGAGCTATCAGCACAGAATCCTATGTAGGGGTCAAACTCATGAACTGTGAGATGATTGCTTGATCTGAAGTTGGGATGCTCAACCAGCTAAGCCACCCAGGTGCCCCTCTTTTTTAAATACTTAAATAATCTCTGTAGCCAATATGGGCCTTGAACTTAAAACCCCAAGATCAGGGGTTACGTGCTCTTCTGACAGAGCAGCCAGGCACCCCATAGCATGGATTTCTTACTAATTTTTTCCCATTTTAGGGGGAAAATAGACATTGTATTTAATTTGACAGTGTTCCTATGGTCTTATCTTCAAGTTCTTTCAGTATATGCCAATTACGTCAACTCCTTGAGGTGCCAGTTTTGAGCACCTAGGACCCAGGTATTTTTAATATCCCAGTGTCATTTGGGCTGCAGATTCTATTTCATTTATACCCGTCTCCGTCCCCACTTTTTAAGTCTTTATTTCTAAGTAATCTTTATACCCAACGTGGGCCTCAACTGAAACCTGAGTTCAGGAGTCACCCAGTCCACTGACTGAGCCAGCCAGTCTCCCCCATTTTTGCCCATTTTTGCCCCCTTAAGTTTATTTTTGGGAGAGTGTGAGTGGGGGTGAGGTTCATAGTGAGAGAGAATCCCAAGCAGGATCTGTGCTGCCAGTGTGGCGCCTAAAGTGGAACTTGAACTCTGGAAACCACAGGATTATGACCTGAGCCGAAACCAAAACTTGCGTGCTTAACCAACTGAGCCACCCGAGCACAGCCCCTTTTTAATTTATTTTGTACTCAGCAGGAAACCCAGATGCAGTTGAATCACATGTTAATGAAAATTATGTTCTGGATCTGAACAGTTTTTCTCTTGTGTGTTTACAACTTTTAAACTTCAAGATAGCTTTAGAACACCATGCCATTTTCTTTTTTAGATGTAGGCTGTTTTTAGCAGCTTTCTAATAACTTGCCTTCCAGTGGAGAATTTAATGATTATATGAGAAAATACACTGGTAAAAATCCCCATTCTGTTTATTTTTAATAGTGACTTAGATGATTATATTCTTCTAATTTCACAGATTATAGTAAACTTGGTTATAATTTATTCCTGCTTCATTAAATTTCCAGACTAAGCTAGAAAACCAGATATAACTAAACTGTCACCTTCTGGGCTAAGTATCCCAAGTACTTGGAATTGAATTCTCAAGATCAGGGTTTTCATGTATTTTCTGACCGGTGTGCTTCCCTTTCCCCATTTCCCATTATTCCCATGTGAAGAGTAGTATAGTGGAATGTATTCGAGATTTGGTAGAGTAGTCGGAGTAGAAAGAAAGAGGCATAAGTAAGTTTCCCAGCATAGGAGGAAAGAAAAAGGCCCCAAAGCCTTGTCAATGAGGAATGGGGAAGGAGGTTTGGCTGCCAGGTTTTATTATAAGTTTTTTTGATAAACCCTGCTACTGTAGTCCTCTTTTATTAATGCTTTCCTGACATTTACCCTGTTAGTTGAGGCTCTTCATTGTTCCTGCACTGAGCTGTAGAATTCTCTTTTGTTATAGATTTGCAAACAAGACTTTCTCAACAGACCGAAGGTGAGTTGAGCTTTTTATTTGTCTTTGAAATAGATGTTAATGTAGCAAGACATAGTTGTTTGTTTATATTTATTATATCATGTTACATTTTGTATTTTGGATTCAGTTTTTAGAGAATAACATAAACTTGCACATACAGTAACCATCTGTTTAATGTGTATTTCATTTGGCCTAATCCAAATCATTACAATTCCATGGATAAATAAAATGAATGTTTGCATTTTTTTTGCTTTAGTCCTAGAGGTATTTTTCAGCCTTATATGTTTATCTTTGTGTTCTAATTATTACTTTTGTATAATTAAAAGTCTGAAAACGGAATTTTTTGTTTCAGTACACAAATCTTTAGGAATCGGTAAACTTAACGTAGGGTTAAGGATTCTAACTTTAATGTTTTGTATTAATAGTACCAAGCAATGAGACAGTTATCCAGAACTAAATTGCATGCATATTTGAAAGAGATGAAATTATTTCTAAAGTAGGGCATTTTTTCTTGTTTTGATTACCAAGTAAATCTCTGCTGTTACAGCATTTCGCTTTTGAGCATATTCAGTATCCATCTTTCATAGGTTATACTTAAAAAAGTTGTGTAGGAGACTAATTTCTTTATGGGAAAAGGTTTACCATGTTTCTTGATAGGAATTCAATGTATATTCTTTTACAGGAAATAACACAGTTGCATTTCTTACCAGATATTATTACTATTTTTAAATTTAAATATTAGTTAATATACAGTGCAATATTGATTTCAGGAATGTACAGATTTCAAAAAGTAGAACTAGTGAATTTTTCTATTAGCTATAGTTCTATGCTGAATTCATTGTGTTTGCATTCATCTAGACTGAGCTTGAATGTTTCTATTACATATTTTCTAAATAATTTTCTGTATTTATAATATACTTTGAGAAAGTGGAAAACAAAGTACTCCTCAGTTGTTTTGTAAATGACCTATTTATTTCCAAGAGTACTTCCATTTGTTGATACAGGTACACAGTGGGCCTCACTTTTATCTTCATTGTAGCATAAGCATTGTTACATTTTTAACTTGACTGAATAGAGTTTGATATCTATGAGCTCTTTTACCATATTTAATTTAATATGAAGCCTCTTGAAAGACAAATATATATTGAAGTAATAAAGGAGCAAAGAGCACTTGTAATTATATCAAAAATAATAACTTTTAATGATGTATTTATTTCATGCATGGCCCTTAGTTTTATTCAGTGAAATAATTTCTCATACTTCTCAGGTGACTGTTCATTTTAATTACCATAATTTCTAATGCGCTGTTTTATCCTTAGCTTTGTTTGTTGTTATATATTGGAATGCAATTTGGTCAAATATAATGATTACGGTGAGTTTTGTAACAGCTACTGGTAATGTTTGTGAATCTCATAAAAGCAGTGGGGCACCTGGCTTGACAGTGCTCTCATTTGAAACCTCAACCCAGTATTAGTTTTAAATGTTCTTGGATATTAGTGTCCAGTAGCTTTTTATTTTTAATACTGAATATTATCGATATCTGCTACTTTTAGTGTTGATTGTGCTATAACAGACCTAATCATGTAAAAAAAAAAATCTGATTTGAGGGGTGACGGGGTGGCTCAGTCTTTGGAATGTCTGACTCTTGATCTCTGGTCTTGGGCTAAGGGTTGTGAGTTTAAATCCTTCATTGGGCATGGAGCCTACTTAAAATAACACCCATTAGATTCTGTCATAGGGTTTATATTTCTGGGCTATTACATTTTAAATGGACTATTTTTGTGCATCTTATTTTTAAACAATCCTTTTGTAATGTTTTATTTGAAAGAAAATATGTAACTACTAGTATATAACTACTGTCATGGACAGAAACCTAAGATACACAAGAGTATAGATTTATTTGGCCTTTTAAAGACTATTTTCATCCTCCCTTGCTTTTTGGCATATGAACTCCAGTTCTATGTGATCAGTCTGTTTTATCCTTTACCTTTCTGGATTGATTTTTACTGATATTTGTCTAATTGTTGAACGGAGTTTGTTTACACCAAAAGTTTAATTTCCATTCTAAAAATAAAATTTCCAACTCAAGATTGGGTATTACGTTAATTAGGTTGTTTTTGATTTATGGCAAGTCAAATTGAGTACTGTTCCACACTTGGATAGCATTAATAAGTAAATTAGTGAAGTGACTGACTATCCTAGTTTCACAGTTGGCATTTAGTGGTTTTTCTGGTTTTGTTTTTTTCATCAGGGATATTCTGATGCATTTTCCAAGAAACTAATTTCTCTCTCTCTCTTTTTTTTTTTTTTTTTTTTAGCTTCAGCTTTAGCTGCAGCTGCCTCTGTTCAGCCTCTTGCAACACAGTGTTTTCAACTCTCTAACATGTTTAACCCTCAAACGTAAGTAATATGCTTTGGTCAGCTTGAAAATGGTATACAGTCAACAGTTCAACAGTGCAGGGAGTAGAGGCACTGACAACTGCCCGCACAGTCGAAGATCAATGTGTAACTTCTGAATCTGCTGAAAGTTTAGTAACAAACAGCCTAATGTTGACTGAAAGCCTTATAGTAACCCAAATTGATAACACATGTTTGCATGATATAAGTCTTATATAGTGCATTCTTACTGTAAGCTAGACACAAGAAAAGCCTAAAGAAGAGAAACTAAATTTATAGTACTGTGCTGTATTTTTTTTTTTTTTTTTTGAGAAAAATTCATGTATAATTGGACCCGAGCAGTTCAGACCCATGCTGTTCAGTGGTCAACTGTACTGTGAAAGCTTTAGTATTCAGCTTTTTAAAGTTTTTGAGAGGGAGAGAGACTGAACACAGGAGAGGGGCTGAGAGAAGGGGGGGCGGGGAGAAAGAGAATCCTGAGCATTGGAGAGGGGCAGAGAGATAAAGGGAGAAAGAATCCCAAGAAGGTTCCTCGTTGTCAATGCAGAGCCTGACACAGGGCTTGAAACTATTATAAACTGCAAGATCAGGACCTGAGCCAAAACCAAGAGTCGGATGTTTAATCAACTGAGCCAGCAGTTGGTTATTCCTTTTCTTAGCTAACTTTTATGTTTTGGTATATTTCATAGTTCAGATAATGTAACAGTTTTGATCGTTTCATGGTATTAATCTTAATGCTAATTTGTATATTGTTAATTCCTTTGGGTGTGTTTCTAAGATTGGAATTGAAAGGTATGCAGGTTTTATTTTCCAATTATATTCAATAATTCTATATGAAGGTTTGTGTCAGTGTTTATTTTTTAATTGTAGTTTATATATCATATGGTATATTAGTTTCAGGTTCATAACATAGTTGTTTATAGGTCTGTAGCTTCATGCTCACCAAAGGTGTAGATCTGTCACCATACAGTACCATTGGCTGTGTTACCTGTCCTGTTCTTTTCATCCTTGTTGACTTACTCTCCCATAACTGGAGGCCTATACTTCGCACTCCCTTTCATCCATTTTACCTATCCCCACACCCTGCTCCCCTCTGACGATCACCTTTTTGTTCTCTGTGTTTATGGGTCTGTTTCTTCTTCTTTTTTTTTTATTTGTTCATATGTGTATTTGTATTTATTTTGATTGCTAGTTTACTTTTATCAGTCCTTGGATTTGAAATTTTAAGCTTACATAGGAGAAGAGGATCTTATAAAATTTTCTAATTAGGGGCGCCTAGGTGGCTCAGTCGATTAAGCATCCAACTTAGGCTCAGATCATGATCTCACGGTTCGTGGGTTCGAGCCCCGTCGGGCTCTGTGATAACAACTCAGATCCTGGAGCCTACTTCAGATTCTATGTCATTCTCTCTCTCTGCTCCTCCTCTGCTCATGCTCTTTCACTCTTGCTCTCAAAAATAAACAGTTGGGAGGGAGGCAAACCATGAGAGACTCCTCTCACCCCCCACAATGTTTTATTTCTGAGAGAGACAGCATGAGCAGGGGAGGATCAGAGAGAGAGAGGGAGACACAGAATACAAAACAGTCTCCAGGCTCTGAGCTGGCTGTCTGCACAGAGCCCGACCCGGGGCGTGAACTCACCAACCGTGAGATCATGACCTGAGCTGAAGTCAGATGCTTAACGCATGTAGACAGTACGCTTAACAGACTGAGCCTCTGGGGCATTCCCAGAGACTCGAATACTGAGAAGGAACTGAGGGCTGATGGTGGGAGAGAGGGGAAGCGGTGTGATGGGCATGGAGGAGGGCATTTGTTGGGATGAGCACTGAGTGAGTGTTAATATGGAAACCAAGTTGATAATAAACTATGAAAGAAAAATAAACATTTAAAATTTTCTTAAAATTTACTGCAGGCTGGAAATTTGGAATTTCTTGAAGTGCCTTGCTGGCTCAGTTAGTAGAGCATGTGACTCTTGGTCTTGGATATAGAATCTTGGGAGGAAAATGAAAAAAGGGAATTTTTCTTTCCAAATTCCTAAGTAATGATTAGAATGCTACTTATCCAAACTCCTGTTTCTTTTATAAGTCATATTTATAATACACTCCAAGGTAAATGTAGGTATCCTGTTCAATTGATTTAATAACCATATTTTATAAAACCTTGTTTTATTTAATAATAATTTTTATCATGCTGTTTGCCTTGTTTATAGTCATGTTTTACCATAGAAGGAGCCCTTCTATGTTCTTTTGGTAACATCAAATTCTTTATTTTAGCTTTATCTGTGAAATGATGGTTAATAGTTGGTATAAGTATAAATTGATATATGTCAATAAAGTAAATGATAGAGTTACATTCATTAGCTTTGGTGCAAACAGTGCTTTTTATCTTGTTTTTGATTTCCTCCAGTGCACTCCACTGCTAAGATTAATGGTTTTTAAATAAAAGAATTCATATTTCAAATATTTTTATCTAGATGAGAATACATATGTAACATTTTACAAGTTTGGTGTTTAATAGAGCTTAATTTCTTACAGAGAAGAAGAAGTTGGATGGGATACAGAGATTAAAGATGATGTGATTGAAGAATGTAATAAACATGGAGGAGTTATTCATATTTATGTTGACAAAAATTCAGCTCAGGTATTTTTTTCTTTGTTCTCTAGAGGAAGAGAAGTTTAATCTGCCCTTTAAGCACCTCAGGTATTTTGATCTCTGTAAAGATAGGATATTGTTAATCTTTTGTTAATTAGCCTTCACATATACTCAGCATATTACCAGGCTTAAATTTTTGTTTAATTCTGAAAGAAACTTTAACATACTGACTAAATACCCTCCAAAATAAGGGGGTATTTGTAATTGAAGATGAGGCCATTGTGTAGCTGTGTTGCTGGTTAGTATTGAAAGCTTGCTATGATTCTGGCCTCTTGATTCATTCTTTAATTGCTTTGAAGTGATAGAAAAATGAAAGTATAGAACAAGTCTTTTGGAGGGTAAAATGATATCAATGAAACTCTAGATGTACATAATAGCTAATGAAACAATTATTTGGTTAATGAGCACTTACTATTTTTACAGGCAACTTGAATAAATCTTTTCAAGTTCATGTTGTGTACCACATGCCCTTCCTTACCTTTTTTGTTGTCTTTCAGGGCAACGTTTATGTGAAGTGCCCATCAATTGCTGCAGCCATTGCTGCTGTCAATGCATTGCATGGCAGGTGGTTTGCTGGTGAGTTTGATCTGTTTTTTTTTTTTTTCTGCTTGATTATTGTGAAGGATGTAATTTAAGTGAACATGCTAAACCTTTCTGTTTCTTTCCACAGGTAAAATGATAACAGCAGCATATGTACCTCTTCCAACTTATCACAACCTCTTCCCTGATTCTATGACAGCAACGCAACTACTGGTTCCAAGTAGACGATGAAGGAAGATATAGTCCCTTATGTACATAGCTTTTTTTCTTTCTTGAGAATTCATCTTGAGTTATCTTTTATTTAGATAAAAATAAAGAGGCAAGGGTCTACTGTCATTTGTATACAATTCCTGTTACCTTGAAAAAATAAAAATGTTAACAGGAATGCAGTGTGCTCATTATCCCTAACTAGCAAATCCCACTGTATACAAAGCTGTTCTCTTGTTCTGCCTTTTAAATGTACATGTAGCAAATTACATTAAGGATCTATAGGAATAGCTCTAGGGGGGAACAAATGTGCTTAATGTAAAAAGGCAGACAGGGATGTAATTATGTTTTTAATGTTTCAGAAGCCTAACTTTTTACACAGCAGTTACATTACACGTTTCACTAATGTTGATACTTGCCTAATGGTTTAGCAGAGGTTTCTGGAGTACACATTTAGTGTATGGAAATTCAAGACAGCTAAAGGGCTGTTTGATTAACCTCTCATCTTGCGTCATGATTAATTGGCAAGAAAAGGAGATTTCAAGATTACATTTCCGGATGGTATCTTTTCAATTAATGTATCTGTAAAGGTTTCTTTGTAAATATTATGTGTTCTGGTGTGTCTGAGATTCCAAACAAAATGATCCCTGCATTTCCTCAAGATGTTTAGTGACAGTCTGGTAAGAGAAGCAGTCTGAGCAAGAAATAGGAAATGCAGAAATAGGTTTTGTCTGGTTGCATATAATCTTTGCTCTTTTTAAGCTCTGTGAGCTCTGAAATATATTTTTGGGTTACTTCAGTGTGTTTGACAAGACAGCTTGATATTTCTATCAAACAAATGACTTTCATATTGCAACAACCTTTGTAAGAACCACTCAAATAAAATTCTCTTAAAAAGGCCATAAGAAATCTTCATTTTTGAAATGTTTTAAAGTCATAGAAACTTGAAAAAAGGGTGAGTTTCTTTGACTGTTGTTAGTTAATGAAGACTTGCCTCTTTGGGAAAATTCTTAGTATGTAGTCTGGGGAACCTGTTGTCGTAAAGTTTTCTCTACATTCCTCTATATCCCCGCGTCTTAGACTGTATTTCCTTAGGGTAATGCATCAAAACCTCAGGGATTTTCCATAGAGAAAACCAAACAAGTCTGCCTAGACCTGAAACCTGGGTACTCTTAATTCTTGTTTTATCTGACTTTCTTTTTGAGAAATGTTTCACTATATAAACTGAACAAAATGGCTTAAGTTCAAACATTTTAAGTGATTTCCTGGTTTAATTGCATGTTCCTTTATAAAGGAATTTGAACTTGGAATGAGCCATCATCATTTTATTCTGATCTTTGTTTCAAGTTTATCTACCTTGAACCTTTGAGTTGGCAGTGTTTCTCCAAATGGAAAGATTACTTTCTAGTGTCAAGGTCCTCACCTGCTAATTTCTTTGTACTGTATTGATTTGTTAGTGTTAGGGCACAGTTTCAATGGGCTTCATCGGATATCAAGATAATCAGTTTGAATTTGGAGGCATCACAGTTTTCTAACGGTCCTTTTGATGGACACTTAGAATTTCTTCCATGAATTGCTTCAGTTATTTAACCCAAAGAAAAATTTCAAGATTCGATTATTTTTCAACTCTAGGCAGTGGTGGTCTTTTATTAAAACCTTCTAGTATCTTTATAACTAAATCTTCTATTCTTAATTCATGTCCTATCAGCTTTGTTCGGTCTTTCCTTTCCAGGGAGGTGGGCTAACTTAGGCATTTATTTAACCACATAGGTGATAGAAGTGGCAAAAATTTGCCCACTGGTGCAGAACGAAATTTATGCTGTAAATGATATGAAGGGAAATGTACAGGTAATTTGAATAGTGTGAGGGCTAGAAAACAGTCCAATGAATGGAGTGAAATCTTTCAGGTAATTCCTGAGACAGCATCCTACCCTGGGAAATCTAGCTGGTGTAGATACTCTGGTATTGTTGTGGTTGCAGCTGCAGGAGTGTCTTTATGACTCCCAAATATTCAAGTGTAGTTTTTGTCTGTCATAACATCATTTTACTTGGACAATGATTCTTTTTTAAGTAGGCTCCATGCCTACAGTTGAGCCCAAGGCAGGTCTTTACTCCCATCAAAACATTTGGCTGAGCCACTCGGGTGCCCCACAGGTTAGTGCAGTTTTAAAAGTTTGTCAAGGGTTGTGTGGCAGGAGTAGCTGAGGATCACTTGGCCTTCTTACAAGGAACCTATCTTATGTAACGTATTAACAGTTTTTTTTGTGTGTTGGAAGGGGGTAGGTTCATTTTTATACAATTGATCTCTTCATGGATGGCTGGTTAGGAAATTATGAGGTTTATGCAGTTACGCTACAGAAGTGTCTGATGGCTTGAGTTTGTTTCCCCATGGAGGATTTGCTCTTTTTTGTGATTAAGTCAGCAGACAAAATCTGAAGGATAATTTTTGGGTGAACATGGCTTTGGTAAGGAGACAGGTTAATGCCACCTTTGCAATGTGACCTTTAAGAAACCCAGATTTAGTCTCCGCCTTTAAAATGGTGAGAATAGTATCAACCTTATGGGGTTGAATAACAAAGAGTTTATTAAAATCTTTGGAAAGTTCAGGCATGGAAAATTTCCTAACTGGAGTAACAATCTGAAAAATACCCAAACTACTCATTGGCCCACCTCATGAGCTCTAAGCTGGGTATAGGCAGAAAGTGAGAAGAAAAAACACTCAGACTACTCAAAGATTTGTTTTATTATAGTACATGAGCTGGGACTGATGGGAAGGTGTAGCTGTAGTGGACAACCATTGCCCTAATTAGCATCGGATGCCCATCCCGATGGCCATGAATGTGCCAAAGGTGCCGCCACTCTGCATCATGGTTTTCCCGATGCCGCCCATCAACTCTCGACCCCGCATTCCGATCCTAAGAGAACAGGAAACGAAGTTGCAGCCAACCAGGAACAAAAATACAAGAAATGGCATTAAACGGCCCTTTTAGTAAATCAAGCCTTCTTGAAGTCTGGCAGGATATTATCTCTTTCCACCTGAGATGAGTAATGACTAGCAAAAAAGCATTTATCACCGTCTCTGGGGCTTTTATGAGGAGTATCATTCAGTATGACTCCAGTTTTGGGGAGGCAGCTGATGCAAAATACCTGGAGAAACTGGGTTTTTTTGTTCTGGTATATATAGAAACGACTTTCTGATGGTTTCCTGGTATTAAAGCAATGACTGTGGAGTCAGACCTGTGTTTATGTCCCAGCTCTACAATTTACAGGCTATGCTGTGTGACGTGTAAGACGGGGATCATGGGATTGTTGAGATAACACATGCAACATTTAGAACAGCTATTCACTCTGGGTAAGTGCTCAGTAAATGGTAATTTACGATGTGGGAAAAAAATGGGAATAACCGTCTGTATTACATGCGAACATTACATTTAGGGTGCTTCGTATCTATATCCTGTTTCCAGTACACTAAAATTGCTCTCAATAAGTTTATGCAGAACTAGAAATAATAACAGCAGCGACAGTAGTTAACAACCATTTATTGAGCACTTGCTATGCGCCACATTCTGTGCGAAGTGTGCTCTGATTTGATCCTTACAACTCTATGAGCTAGATGTTACTGACCTCATTCTACACTTAAGGAAACCCAGACTCCACTTTGCTTAAGTTTACAGGAGTAAAGAGGCTTTCTTTCCGTTTTGAGTCAGAGCTCGTATTCTCTGGCGCCGAGGTTTCCGACCTTTTCATCCAGACTGAAGGTGGAAGGGAAATCAGTCTCACTCATTAAAGGACAGCGAGGGAACTGAAACAAAGTAGGTTCTATCCAGGCTGCAGGCCAAGTGGCGCGGGGCGGAAATGTCCGGTAGTTCCGCCCAGAGATCACCGCCCTCGCCCCTCACCTGAGACAGGAAAAGGTGCCAAAGAGCGCCCCGGCCGCCATGCCCACTGCGCAGCCCATCACAAAGCCCATCTTCACGCGGTCGAAGCAGCTCGGCTGGGACTGTCCGTAAGGCCCCACGGCCACCGGCATCTGCGGGGTTCGAGGGTTAGAGGAGTGTGGGCCTAGCCGCCAGCCCGATTCGAGGAGGGGCTGGAGGAGGCGGGATGGGGAGCGGGCCCAAGGGTTCGGGGAAATCCAGGGAGGAAAATAAGCGCGTAGCACGACTCAATCACCCTCCTAGTGTTCGGGTCCCCGCGCCTCTGTGCCCCCACCTCACCTCGTTCGCGGCTTCGGTCGCTCAGTTCTACGTCTTACACAGAACGCGAGGCGGAGCACGCCCGTGGCCTGAGGAATTGCTTCCGGGGCGCGGAGCAGAACTTCCGGGAGCGTGTAGCGGAGGAGTGCGGCCGCTTCGGGCGGGGGGCTCTGCTAGCGGGACCATGCTGCTGCGAACCGCTTGGAGGCGGGCGGCCGCGGCTGTGCGGGCCGCTCCGGGGCCCAGGTCCGAGGCGCCCGCTCGGGGGCTGCGCTTGCGCGGTACGCTCCGGGCCTTGCTCACAGCCACCCTCCCTACTAGCGCGGACCTTCCCCCTTGGGGCGGCGAAGCACCGAAATATTACGGAGTCTCCCTCTTCCGTCCGCTGCCCGGACCCTCTGACCCTTCCTGCTGGCTACACCCCTCAGACTTTCTCAGACCGACCCTCAGTACGGTTAACTTCTCCGCGTCACCCTTTAGATCCTGCCCCACAGGCCTTCACACCTCTCCAGCCCGACTTTTTTAGAGATGTTGGTCGTCCAACCAGTCATCTTTAAAGGAGATCTTAGCTACTCCGCCTCCACCCCCCTTCTAAATGGCTTTGCCCTTTTCGACCCCTTCCCGCTCCCAACGGGGCAATTCGAATATTGGCCTTACATCTCCCTTCAAGAACATGGTCTCTCTCCCTTACCTCCTTTTACAATTTGCTTAAGTTCGGTGATGCTTTGTTTCCTTTTCCATTGAGATTCAACCCCAGCAGCCTTTCAGCTTTTCGACTTGTCGCACCTAAACCCAACTTTCACTTTCTGCTGTCTTGGATAACCTGTGTCCATAGTTGTGTTCTTTCACGCTTGGCCACACCTTTTTTTTGTGTGTGGGGGGGTGTTCAGTTGTAGATCTTGCTCCCCATTCGGCTGTTCCCTCAGATACAGCCACTGCTCCGGAGGTGGAGTCAGTGCTGCGACCTCTGTATATGGACGTCCAAGCTACAACTCCTCTGGTAAGGATGGAGGGGCAGCTTTCCCCAAGGCTATTTATAACAGGTTGCAGAAGTGACAGTGCAGAGAAATGACTGGATCCTGCAGAAGTGAGAGTCATTGGGAAGTGTGTCTTTGGAAAAGCACTGAGCCAGGAGTCAGGATCCTTAATTTGTGATCCACTAAAAATGGCCCTACTACTTACTGGCTATTGCCCTTGGTGAGATCACTTCAGTGTAGGCACTTTGGTAGTAGTTAAATGCATAGGCTCTGGAATTAGCTACTTACTAACTATGTGAATTTGGGCACGTATTACATGGGTTAAAAGACATAAAGCAGCTCTTTAAACAGAGCCTGGCACATGTTGAGCACTTCAATATTAATGGAAGGTTTCAACATGTGAACTCTTGTCATGTCCTGGCCCTTGTAGATCACATTGCCTGGCAGGAATGGAAACATGCAGAAACAGCTATCAGGACAAGGCAATGTTTGTAGATTACCAGGGGAGATGGTAGAATAATCATCTGGTAGAATGATTTAAGATGGTTTGAAAGTGGGAGTGTATTAGGCTGATATTTGTTTAGTACCTAATGGGATAGAAGAATGAGGCTTCCTCTAGGCAGTGTCTGAAGGGTTGGGAATGTGTTGTGGTAGGTTGGGTAAGTCCGAGGGGATGGATTGGGGCCTGAGTTACCTATGGACTCAAGGAGACTGATATATTCTGTTG